CATATATATATATATATTATTTATACATATACACAGTTAACTCCCTATTATCCGGCATTCAAGCAACCAGCACTCTCAAGCAACCGGCAAAAAAACAAAAACAAATCAAGGACATAATATGCCCTCGATTTTTTTGCCGGTTGCTTGATAGACATGAGGACACTAAAAATGGTGCTAGCAATTAAATAAATGTAGTTGCTAACAAAACTATTTGTTTACATCATGCTGCCCGGCTGGCGGCTACATTCCGCAGTCAGCCGCAGAATGTAAACAATGAGGAGCAATAGCCAGCCTGCTATTGGCTATTTTAAATTGCAATAGTCAATAGCAAGCTGGCTGTTGCACTCGCCCACTGAGCAGAGGAGCGGACCTGAGAGATAAACGCAGGGGGTTGCTTGAGAGTTACTATTAACTTTCAACGAACCAGAAACTACAGTTATCCGGCATCTACTGATCCCCGTGGGTGCCGGATACCTAGGAGTTTAATATATTCCACTAATACTAAGAAGTGAATATATACAGTATATAACTAATGTGAAAATTAGCAAAAGCTGGGGTACTGAGGTTGCCTACCAATGCTCTAGACCATTGGCAATCAGGGCCTGAATTGATTGTACTAGATTAGTTATATATATATATATACACACGGGGGAACATGTACTGTCACAAAACGTATGCAGTTACCAGAATGACTTTGGTATAAAAAGGTATTAAAAAAAAAAAGGAAACGACAAACTTCTGCTGATCTGACACATTGAAATACACACATCAGCTGAATGCACACACGTGAACGGCTTATTTACACTGCTGCAGGTCTGTTCAGCTGCTTTTGTGATTCCAATCAGCCAGTGAGTGACACCATTGTTCAGAGCTTGAACACTCTGCAGCCTCCCGTGTCACCTACCCGCCTGTAATTTGAACGAGCATCATACAATGTAACAAAGTCCGATGGGAATTCCGCTATCGCCTCGGTTTATGGGTATTGCGGCAATCTACATTCTTCCACAGAGATGCTGAATCTGAACAAAAGTTCAGTTTATGTGCAAACCTCCGACCACACCAAAGAAGAGTTCTTGTATTGAAAAGCAAACTCTGACTTTTTAAGGGAAAAAAAAGGCCACCAAAGTAATCAATTCTGTACATTGCGAAAAGTATTTATTATCTTCCTAATCTTCTTCTATCATCTTCCTGTTTCCATGTTGAACATCTGGAGCGACTGCTGGAATGTGCAATGTGTCTATGGAGAAATGTTACAAATTTGCTGGGAAATTCACAGCAGACACATTTTCAGAGCTCCAAACTTCATGGGATGAGGAAGAGGGAGATCTTTCTGCACACAGTACGCAGGCAAAGGACGCACCGCTCGCTCATCTATACAGACCAGCAAGCATTAAAGTAGTATTAAATGCTCAAAACTATGAATCTGGATGAAACAAATATACAGTACATCGCCCTGCAAAGTATTTGTAATATTTTCACCCAAGCGCTTACATTTAGCATGTTTCTGAATAGCTAGCTACAACTCTCTCAGCTCCTCTTCCCTAAACTTCCTGCCCAGTACAACATCACAGTCTCCAGCTGCCGTCCATCTACTAGTTTGGAAAAAATAGGAGCGAGGAGCAGGGTGGAGGGGAGTAAATTGCAATACCGTGCCCGTGTCTTTGTGAATTGACTGAACTTGAGCTGCAGTGCGAGTAACTTCTTCATATTTATGTGTCTTTATGAAGACACACACGGCTTACTAGCAAACCCAAGGGTGGCTCCATAGGACCCTGCGAGGGAAAGGATCCACCCTAAAACAGGATATCAGGACCAGTGCTCAGGGGTCCAGATGATTCTGCAGGAAGCTACAACTTTTATATATCAAAGAAGCCACAGCAAGTGCTGCAGTGGGGGCATCTGACAATCCTAGAGCTATCAAAAGCCAAACAGTCTTATGGAAGCTGCAGCACTGGAACAGAGCGATGTTAGGAGACATGGGCCCCTGGAACGAGAGTATAATGGCTCTGATCTTGTATGTTTTTTCATTAGATTGACCGGTTCTCTTTAAATTAAAACTCAAGAGCTTTTGTTTCAGTTCTGGGTTGGCACTGGTGGGCTGAATGCCTGACTGTCTTTTGCAGACTTAATGACAGGGAAGTGTGACACCGTCCATTGGCTTTGTGATGGCACTGGGATGGGCAGATGTGGAAATTTTGACCAGTAGACCTGACAAATATATTTTCAAATATAAATTTTGTTGTACAAAGGTGACATCATAACTTACTAAATGTGTGTTATATGTTACAGGAGTGACATCATCATTCTTTTGCAGACTTCATCACAGGGCAGTGGGACACCATCCATCGGCTTTGTGATGGCACTAGGATGGGCAGAGGTGGAAATTTTGACTAGTAGACCTCACCACCTAAGTTGACAAGAGATGTATGAAGCCAACGTGAGATTCAACTGGCCTTGAAAACTGAAAATTCGTCACCGGGTGGGTTTGATCTTAAAGCGACTGTTGGTTCCATTTCATGATTTTAGTAGCTGCTCATCTGAAAACAGTAGGTGAAGGGAACGCTGGGGTCACATGCACAGAAGACACGATTGAGAATTCCTGAAAGATTTCCGGGGAGGCTGCCGGTTAATACTCCAGAAATCTCACCCCCCGATTCCCGACAAGGCCCTGCTAACTATGTAAAACTATGCTGACAAGCTGAACTGTGTATCCGGGTGCCCATTAAGAGCTGCGCTGTGCATTAACAACTGCGCGGAAACCACAGGCGCATTTGACTTTGAACATTAAATGGCACCTAAATTATGTATCCAGCAATGAAAGTCGAGCGTTTTATCTACTCACCAGAAGGTGTCCAAAGCACTGCTTTATTATTCACATTAGACTTCTCCTCAGCCTTCCATTACTGGGCTCCAGCAGCAAAGTATCTATTGACCAGTCCCATCGCTCGTGGAGGAGGATTTGCCCGCTGGAGGGCTCGTACCATCGATGGTTGTCACCACTAAACAGGGCAGCCTAGGATACGGAAGAAAGTAGCTTCATCCCCTCTGGTCTGCAACACGTTTAAAGGGATTTTCATTGTGGTTACAATTGTGTTTTTATGGTTTCGGAGGCCCGGTTTAGCAGCAGGGTTAGAGTGCCGGTACTCACATGGCTGGTGTTACGGTCACGGTAAAGGTGTTTCCCACTGACTGGCCTGAAGAAGGGAGACCCCTTCAAAGACTCCGTCCAGCCTAAACTAATACTTTAATTGCAACTCCGGAACAAACCCTTTGCTTTAGCTTTGGGTGGTTTTTGGCACAGTAGGGTAGTTTTGGGTAAAAATGTCCTGTTGTTTCTCTTGGTCTTGCCAGAAGGGACTGCTCGGTACCACAGTTTTTCAAATATAATTTTTATTGTACAAAGGTGACATCATCACTTACTAAATGTATGTTATATTTTACAGGAGTGACATCATCATTCTTTGAATAAAAGCTACATTTCATCAAAGTGGCATTATTACTCTCCAGACATGTTCTATTTTGCAGGAGTGACATCTTTACTCACCAATATATACTATGGTTACAGGAGTGACATCATAACTCACCAATATAGTCTACAGTCACAGATGTGACATCATAGCTCTCTGATATGGTCTACAGTTACAGGAGTGACATCATAACTCTCCAACATAGTTTACGATTACAGGAGTAACATCATAACTCTCCAATATAGTCTACAGTTACAGGAGTGACATTATAACTCTCCCACATAGTCTACGGTTAGAGGAGTGACATCATAACTCTCCCATATAGTCTACAGTTACAGAAGTGATGTCATAACTCTCCCATATAGTCTACAGTTACAGGAGTGATGTCATAACTCTCCCATATAGTCTATGGTTACAGGAGTGACATCATAACTCCCCAGATAAGCTTTATTTCACATGAGTGACATCACTGCTCCATATACACATAGACGCACACATTCATACACACAGTTATTGTTTTTATCTGACTTTCCCATCAGAATAGAGCTTTAGAAGAGCGTTGACCCCCCACAAACTATATACTTGTGTGTCTGCGGTGTGACCCCAGCAGCCGGGTCTCACACTGTCTGTATTAGGAAACTGATCTCCCTCCGTCCGTACTGCACACAGAGCGGCGACGTATAGGAAGTACACGCCACTTTGGCAGAGAGCGTTTCAGAAGATGCGAGAGGCAGCCGGCGCCAGGGTCATTAAACAAGATTGAAGACATCTCTTCTTCTTTCTCTCCATACACCGCCGTATTTAATAATACACAAAGTGCCGCATCACCACTTAAACCGTTATTTCGGAAATGTGTCTGCGCGGTGCATCGACGGGAGGTAATGCAGGCGAGCCTGTCGGTGGAGCCTCTGAAGCAAGCCTGTGGCCGATGGACTGCAAGTTCCAGCTTGCCTGGCTTACAAACATTCCATAACAGAAGTCACCAGCACTCGATGATGTGTGCAAAAAGAAAAGCACTTTTTATTAAATTGTCACATGCGTCATACAGCCAACGTTTCGGGGGCCACGCAGGGCCCCTTCTTCTGGGCGACATAGTCACTATGCTGCATGACGCATGTGACAATTTAATGAAAAGTGCTTTTCTTCTTGCACACATCATCCAGTGCCGGATAACTTCTATTATGGACCATATCTGACACGGCCCCGTCCGCGTTGTTACTTCAAGCACCAACCTTTCATCCAAGGTCTGTACGCTGCATGGAGTGCAGGTGATTTCGTATTATCGATGGCTTACAAACAGCTTACAATGCAAGGGATTGAGGTAGAGAAGGATTTATAACACAACTATTCTCTTGCTGTATCCATTTCTGAAGAGCAACTCAAAGCAGCAAGTGAAGCCAGTTGCTCCTAGTGTTGGAAGGTGTGAGACAATGCGATTCCGCCCGTGCTTCTGAACACGCGGCTAAAACAGTAGCGCGTCGTGTATTGCAAAAAAACAGGTACATGTTTTCTGCGATTGCCGCGCAGATGTCACCCTATTGAAGTCAATGGGGCAGCGCGGCAATCGCTGCCTGCATTGTGCAGGACCGCTCGATCCTGGGACACGCGTCCCGGGTGTCGGGCGGTGTAGTGCAGGTGTGAACCTAGCCTCATGTGTGCGTGGGTCTGCTTCCTCAACATGTACCACATCCGCACGGCCTGCTTACTTTATCACAAATAAGGTTGAAACGTGCAAGGCAGTGCTACATCTGACTGGAGGCTCTATAACACTCCTTAGTTGACACCTCTTCTACAGAGGTGTAATGATGGGGTCTCCCTACTGGAGCTGGACTCCCCAATTATTTGTTCATTGTAGAGACTATAGTGGGGGAGTGTGACCCCACCATTTAGCATTGTAATGGCCGTGACAGGCGGAGCTGTGTATTCTGTTGGGACACCTCTCTTTTGGAGTCACCAAAAAATAAAAGAAGCTGACATAACATTTAACCTTCCAGCAAACAGACAAAAAAGAACCATTACTTTTGGGAGGTACTGACTTGTAAAGAAGCAGCAAACGTGTCCTTAAAGGATAACTATGGGGTTCGGGCTTTTCCCCATACTGTAGTTCTCCTTAGGGTAACGGGAGGACACAAACTAGCGTCCTCCCGTCACCCTAGGCTCAGTATACCGCGAGCTGTAGCTCGCGGTATACTGAAACGCTGCAGTATACCGCGAGCTGCTGCTCGCCGTATACTGAGACGGTGCAGCTGAAGTGGATCCCGACAATTGTGCCGGGATCCGCTCAGCTGCGTGACTGACAGCTGGCTCTGCCTATCTAGAGGCAGAGCCAGCTGTACCCGCCCCCTCCCCCGTCCGTTCCGCCAGTCAGCGCTGGCGGATCGGAGCGGGGAGGGGGGAATCCAGCCCCTCCCCTGTCGCGGCAGAGAGCCGTGACAGGATTGAGAGGTGAGCGAACGCCGGTATGTGTTCGCTCACCTCCCGATCTACTGAGCCGACCTGTGACAGTCTCATTGTGACAGGTCGGCTAGAACTATGAGGTGAGTGAAAAGCAATCACCTCATAGTTCTCCTTTAAACCACAATTTGAACTAATGCGGACCCTGTATCGAGCCCTCGGGTTGAGTTAACAGTGAACAATAGAAGCGTTCTGAAATTTTCTGAGCCACCTGACTATATGACCCCATGCATGAGCATGAGCGATTGTCTTCTCTGTCTATAAAGCCACAACGCCGTCCGCTGCTATGCTCACAAATAAATTATGGACATTTGTGCACCAGCCTGCGAGTCCCGAAAAGACTCGGGGAAAGGCATTAATGTTGCTCCACTGAAGTCAATGCTGGCTTGAGTTCTACAAGCGGGGAGGGGGGAGGGAGACAGGTGTTCAAATAACAGATTTTCAGAGCCAAAAACTAATTTCAGCCAAAATGAGATTTTCTCAGCCTATGTTCTGCAGCTGAAACCAGTCAGGAATAAACCGCCTTAGCTGTACAGTTGACCTAATTCAATCTTGCCAGCGCCGTTCAAACAGAACACGGGGGCTCGCCTGGAAATGGAATGAGGGCTCTAAAGATTATTCTAATGTTCCAATATTGCTTGTTTATCAGACATAAAGTCCATCAGCAGGCCTGGTTAACCACTGGCGCGCGCAAGGGGGCGTGTCTGAGCGGACGTCTAGAGACGCCCGCTCAGATCGAGAGAGCTCCTGGCCGGCCGTTTTTTTACTACGGCCGGCCCGGAGGTAGTTAAGAAGATCAGGGCGAAACCTTTCAGTCCGTCCAGAGCAGCCAAATGGAGGGAAGCGTTCACATTCCGAGCACTGGCTAGCAAAATCAAACCTTCTCATTGGTCGGTATCAGTTTAGGGACAAGTTCATACAGCAACATCATGATAAGCTGTCATAGGGTCCAACTGGGGCACTGTCCTTATGTTAGTGTCAACACAGGAACCAGACTTCTGAAAATTAAGCATGGTTGGATCTGTCCAGCAAAAACCTGAACCACCCCCTTACGATAGTCACCCTCCGGTGGCTATACCTTCCTTTACTGCTGCTGCAGGTCTACAATAACCCCAATGCTACCTACTACAGGTGAAACTCGAATAATTAGAATATCGTGCAAAGTTCATTTATTAAAGGTGAAACTAATATATGAGATAGACTCATTACATGCAAAGCAAGATAGTTCAAGCCGTGATTTGTCATCATTGTGATGATTATGGCTTACAGCTCATGAAAACCCCAAGAACCCCAAATCCACAACCTCAAAAAAGTAGATTATTACATGCAATCAATAAAACAAGGATTGTACATAGAACAATATCGGACCTCTGAAAAGTACAAGCATGCATATGTACTCAGTACTTGGTTTGGGCCCCTTTTGCAGCAATTACTGCAATTACTTTTGCACGATATTCTAATTATTCAAGTTTCACCTGTATAGGGAAACATGTGAGATGACCCCTGCCTACCCACAATGCAGCACTCTGGGCCTGTCCTATTCCAGGTCCTGGTGCTGCCATACTTGGCATACACTGTGCATCTACTGACCAGTTCCAAAGGCACCCTAGCACACAATGGTGGTAAGGATTTGGGGTTTTGATGAAGCCAATCTCAAGGCAAACAGCTAAATACACAAAAGAAACACATCTATAGGAACTGTTTTACCTGCTGCCAAAGAGCTTGTGTTTCTATCCATCCAGTCCTGAGATTTACACAGTTCTGCCATACACCACAGCCCTGTCTGGCAGGGGAGGGTACCAGAGAAAGATTGGGCACTATGACAGTGTATCATAATGTTGCAGTGTGAACATGTCACTGAACTGATCCCGACCAATGAGAAGGTGTCCCAGGACGGTGAAAGGAGAAGTAGCACTGATGAGCTCAGCTCTCTGCTCTCACTGGGTGATAATAATGTATCAATGATTACAGATCTACAGTAATGTGGGCCTTTTATATCTCCCTGAAGCCAGCAACATCTATATTTTAAAGCTACCTACAGGCATTGCATAATAGCTGCTTGTACAAGTATGTTTTGAATGCCAAAGACATATAGTATATCTATGTACTGGCTGTTTGCTCACTTCCCGATCGATAGAGCCGACATGTGAGTTTCATTGTCCACGTCAGGTCGAACTATGAGGTTGAGTGAAAATCACTCACCTCATAGCCCTCCTTTTAATCTTAAAAATGCATTCAAGTTGCTTAACTATGAACAACAATGTATCTTATTTGTGTATCGCTCGGCTGTAGATCCTCCAATCATCTCTGAATTGGTGCTGACACTGTCCTTCCTTCTGGAGGGGGGCTACGTCTGTTCCCCATGGTCCCTGGGTGTGTTGTAAAGTAGTCACCGCTACAAGCTCGCTTCCGGGATGGACTAAAATCTCATGTTTAGTTTACTCATTTGTATTGAGATTGTAGTCCATCCCGGGAGTGAGCTTTGAGCGGTGACTACCTTACAACACACACAGGGACCATGGGGAACAGACGTAGCCCCCCTCCAGAAGGAAGGACAGTGTCAGCACCAATTCAGAGATGATTTGAGGATCTACAGCCGAGCGATACACAAATAAGATACATTGAGGGGAATTTATCAAACTGGAGAAGACAAAATCTGGAGCAGCTGTGCACGGCAACCAATCAGCTTCTATCTTTCATTTTAGAAATCCTAACTGAACAAACTGAAGAGAGAAGCTGATTGGTTGCTCGGCACAGCTGCCCCAGTTTTTGTCTGTTCCAGTTTTGATCAATTCCCCCCTATTGCTGTTAATAGTTGAGGTACTTGAATGTATTTTTAAGATTTAGCTCCTGAGTTTAGAGTCACTTTAAAACTCTCCTTCCTCTATGACCACAAGGAAAGAGCTTCCTCTAAAAGAGTTAACTTAAGAAAATAGAGGAATGTCAATGATGCCTTCTGCAAGTTGAGTCTTATAAGCGGAAAGCTGTAAAACCGGTCGGTTCAGCTGCTGCTGAATGGCGAGGAGAACAAAAGAGTTTTATGTTGCTGGCCGAGCTCCGGAGCTCGGAGTTCTCTCAAATTCTGCTGATTTTAATCTCGCTCGCTCTCGGTTTTTGAAGAATGAGCTGAGATGAAACAGATAATACGGCCATCGGGTCAGGTGAAAATTCGGGTTACGAGGACCGGCGAAGTGATCAAATTCCGCACGCCGTTACGTCTACTTTTCTTTTTAGGTTACGGCCGCGAAGATTTAAAGTGTCGCCGATAGGAAGCCCGTCTCTGGAATCTGCTTGTTGGTTTATGGAACTCTAAGGAAGTTTATTTCCTTTCCCTGGCCAATTATCATACATGCAGTAGCGTCACAAGGGGGGTGCGGCCCGCACCCGGGTGCCACCATTGGCGCTGACTGGCGGAACGGACGGGGGAGGGGGCGGGTACAGCTGGCTCTGCCTTTAGATAGGCAGAGCCAGCTGTCACTCACGCAGCTGGGTGGATCCAGACATAATTGTCGGGATCCGTTCCGGCTGCGGTGTCTCGGTATATAGAGAGCTGTAGCTCGCGGTATACTGAGCCTAGGATGACGGGAGGACGCTAGTTTGTGTCCTCCCGTTACCCTAAGGAGAACTATGGGGAAAAGGCCTAACCCCATAGTTCTCCTTTAAGACTTCGCTGCTTTTCATGTGAACTTGGAGGAGGATTTGCTTCACACAACCTGCAGCTATAGAGGTCAGCGAGGGCTTGTTTTAAAGTATATGTGCTGTGCTTGTTAAGGATATGTAAATGTTAGAATGTCCATAGCCTGGTCATATCTCCACCTTAAGGTGGAATGCTAAACAAAACCCTTAATATACATATAGTCACATGGGGAGGCTCTTACAAATCTCTGCCTAGGGAACAATTATGTAAATACGGACCAGAAAACATGTACAAAATGTCAATGTCACAATATGTTCCTTCATATGAGAAGGGCCAACTCTTCCCAAAAGTGGTTTTGCCATTTTCGGGTGGGCTGCTAATCGTCTTTCTGTACCTTACATCATTTAAAAGCTCCAATTGGCAGATTGTTCAGTAGAACTTTGTGTCTTTGCCCCCCACACACACAAGGCTACAGCAATGGTCACACTATACCTGCTGCTGGCATTTTGCACTTCACTACAATATATTCAGCAATTTGCGGTACAGTTCAGAGGTGGCAAATGCATTTTGCATTAAGGAGGCAGCCCAGCGTATGAGCCAGAAAGCAAAGGGATGAGTCCACCCAGAATTGATACTTTAGTGTTCCTGACTTCCACTTTAACCTCTCGGGGACTGAGTTTAAATTAAGCTGTGGTAAAATCCCATGATGCACTTGTCTCTGAGAGTCATGCCTGCGGCTGTGAGAATCTTGCAATGCCTCATGGGATCTGTAGTTCTACAACAGCAGGAGAGATGGAGTTTTGCCACCCCTGGGCTAATGTATAAATCTTTTGTGCAGTGTAAAGCTGGGCAAATGCTGATCGCATATCCTTAGCACCAGTAGATGGCGCTGAAGAGCCTCCTAAGTGCCATCTAGTGGCGGCAATGCTGTGTGACCGTCATTTGCCCAGCTTTATGCTGCATATAGGGTCAGCCCCTAAGTGGGTCTGAACTTAAAAAATGATCAAATAGAAACGTTAACCTCACTTCTGTTTCTTTTCTTCTATTTTATGTTTTACTCTACCTGGTTATCTTGCCAATTCCTCACATTTCCATCCTAGGGTGACAACACTCTCTGAACGGCTCCCTAAGCTGCAGTGTTGTCTCCTTAAAATAGGCACACCACATTGATGTGCAGATGCACAGGGTGCTAAGTACATTATTATACAGTATTTTTATAGTGCCAACAGTTTGCGCAGCGCTGTACAATATAAGGAAGACATTACAATCACAATACAATTCAAGACAAGATGGTAAGTAGGGCCCTGCCCCTGAGGGCTTACAATCTAAGAGGGAGGGGCAAGTGATACATGAGGAGGTAGCTGTGCGGGGATGATTGTTTGAGAAAGCGATAGTTCAGTGGTTAGGTCGAGGTGGGAGAGGCTTCCCTGAAGAGATGAGTCTTAAGGGATCGCCTAAGGGCAGTCAGAGTGGGACATAGTCGGACAGGTTGGGGTAGAGAGTTCCATAGGATGGGAGAGACTCTAGTGAAGTCCTGGAGGCGAGCATGGGAGGAGTTGATGAGGGAGCTGGAAAGCAGGAAGTCTTGTGAAGAGTGGAGGGTAGATACAGCTAATGAGTCCTTAGCACCATAAGGCATCATGGGATGTCATTAAAGAGAAACGGGCACCCAGGTGTATGGCACGGGCACACAGAGCGGAAGCGGCTGAAAGGAGCGAGATGGACGGGCACGGTGCATAGACCTCAAACCCCAAAAAAGGGGAGTATTGAGAATGCCACCCACCTACAAAAATGTCACCAGCACACCAGAAAGATTCAGGAAAAGTCCATTTAACTACCAATTGCCATCCGGTTACAATCGCTTTCTCGGCCTCAAGGGGTCCCCTTCATCAGGCTCAGAATGAACTGTCATTCTGAGCCTGATGAAGGGGGCCCCTTGAGGCCCCCGAAAGCGCTTGTAATCGGATGGCAATTGCTCATTAAATGGACTTTTCCTGAATCTTTCTGGTGGGCTGGTGACATTTTTGCTATTCCTATGTTGATTCACGGTGCCATCTGTGGTCGCGTCGAGCACCCACCTGTATATTCAGGATATCTATTGTTCCGGTACGGAGTGCAGCAAGATACTCACTTCTTTGCCACCCACCTACAAGGCCCACTCACTATTAGAATAGAGCAAGGGTAGGCAACCCTGGCACTCCAGCAGTGTTGAAACTCTGCCCCTCTGAGTCATGGCCATGGCTGTTAGAGTCCTGCATCGCCTTGTGGGACTTGTAGTTCCACAACAGCTGGATTGTAATGTGGCCTACCCAAGGAATTGAGATTTTGCAAAGGAGGGTTTCATTATACCTTAATAATATGAATGAGTGATTTAATGAGGTCTGCAGGTCCTATAGTCCTATGACCAAAATAAAACCTAAAGGTGGCCACACAGGTATTGGCACGCTCATCCATTTGATCATTAGGTGCAACTAAAATGATCGAATTGAAGAAGAATTGTAACCCACAGAGCTTCCTTTCGATCCATTTAGTAAGCTTTTGATTGATTTTGATGCTGGCAAATCAATTGACTATGGAGGAATTTCATCAATCGTTTTCGATTGAACAAAATAAAATACCTGGCAACCGATGGTAACACAGATCCATTTTAATAGATTCTATTTGTCAATCGTTCAGTTGTATGTGTTGCATTGTTCTATATTTCAATTGATAATTAATCGCTCCTTTGCGATCGGTTGTACATGGATTCATCACATATCAATACACGTATGGCTTCCTTAAGATGTTTAGTCCCAGAAAGTAGAATGCTGATTCATCTCTCTGTCCCTCCAGCTGTAACGAAACCACAAGTCCCAGCAAGCTCTTACTGCAGGGGTTGCACTTTCCTCGCTGAAAGCAAATATGACTGCGCACAGAAAGATTCCAGGGACGGACACGGCCAGGAAACAAACAACTCCAACTTTTTAAAACTTTAGGACAAACACGCCAGTTCCAAGCTTCCCTGTTGCCGTGTGCGGCTTTCGGCCTACAGTGGGCGCTGTGAGTCTATTTTTCATGGGTGTGGCCACGGAGCTGTAAATGGCATATTTGAATACTACTCAGGAACGTTAACCAAGATTACAGCGTGCCAGTAACTTGTGCAAGAAACAGCCCCGCGCTTTATAAATCACAGGGGGAGCAAAAGAATATTAGAATCGGCATGCAAGAAACAAGGGGCTTTACGGTACCCCGGAGAATTCTGGAAATAGATTGTCGGTGATGCGGAGAGACGCAGAGTTTTATATCAGAGCTGCAAAGTGTGTGGCAGCAAAATTCACACAAGGAAGATGTGATTTCTCCCTAATGGTCTGTTCGAGGGGCCGCTGTTAGCACGGCGTTAAAGCGCTTGTAATCTACGGTGAATGTTAGCGGACCAATCGGGAAAGCTTTACAGAGGGAATGCTAGGGAAGTACCGGTATCGGCACTCTGTATCAGCTAGTACCAAAAGATAAATATAGGTACTTGCACTCGATACCGAAAAATCATTATTGGTGCATCCCTACCCTCTATATTTATGTAGGACCAGCACCTTGGTAAAAGCAGAAATTGATGCAGAACACGGACCAAAGATATGATTTGTTTTGCCAAACAACCATAATGTTTACTGATCTGTCCCCGCACACCCAGTGCCTGCATTCAGATCTCTGCCCATCACTGCCAAGGGTAACCTCTGCCTACAGTGCTACATTCAAGGGCAGTCATAGACTTTGGAGATTTGTCATTGGAACACTGACTTATAGCAGGGGGGTAGTCAACCTCAGCACTCCAACTGTGGTGAAACTACAAGTCCCATAATGCATCTGCCTCTGGGAGTCATGCCTGTGGCCTTTAAGTCCTGCAATGCCTCATGGGACTTGTAGTTCCACAACATTTGGATTGCTGAGGTTGCTTACCCCTGATTTATAAAAACGAATAGGAATGCCACATTGCACAACCAGCAGGTGAACGTAAACAGCAGGCATTGGAGGGATGGGGGGGGGGCGGCGTGAGCAATATCCAGCCTGCTATTGGAACATTCAAATTGCACTAGCCAATAGCAGGCTGGCTATTGCACCCGCCCACTGTCTGCCAATGAGCAGAGGAGCGGCCCTGAGAGAGAACTTTCTCTCCTCGCCTGGTACTGAGGCTAGTCAAAGTGTAGACATACAGGAAAGGTCACCAAACCACATGGTGAAAGAGTCTACAATGCTTTTAATTGCAATGTAATCACATTATTTTTATTTAGCATTTATATAGCACAAAAAGTTTGCGCAGCACTTTACAATAGAAAGGAAGACAGAACAGTTACAATACAATGCAGGACAATCTAAAAGCAGCCAATGCATCTCGGGGACAACATCTACTCCTTCATCAGGGCTTAGAAGAATGGAGTGAGGACTTGAATGGACTCCGAAAAAAACAATAATCTGAAGGATCTCTATTTTCTCTGATTTAAAGTGTGAAAATATGAACTGTGATTGGCGACAGTATTAATTCTTGTGACCGACTGCATCATAGATGTCATTTGTGTCCATAGTTCCACTGTAATCTTTAACTACTGGACCATGTGCTTGGGAAGAAATGGAGTCTGGACAAAAACAACAACTTTTTGGAGTCACGCTGGCTGTTTACCCCTCCCGATCCCTTGCCTTAGCTCCAAAGACCCCTTGTCACCTCTCACTGATAGCTGTATGAAAGCAGACCTTCACCCATATCTTTAAAATAACAACAAACACGTCTTTAGAAATGTTCAGTAATGACAATCTACAAACACATACTTCTAGATAATTGCCGGCTTTCTATTCTTTGCATTCCTTATTGCTCTTTTCTTCCCCAGTCTTCTGGCAGTGGCCATGTTTACTAAGGACAGATTACTAGCTCTCCATTTACTGCCTTGATTTCTGGCCCATGTGACTAGACATGTGACTAGGACATGTGACCACGCACATCATCTCAGGGGAGGAAAATGCCTTTCCCTGAGATCTCATGAGATTACAGATGAGATTTCCCAGCAATGCTCTGCAGATGACAAGGCAATCCCAGTGTGCATTGCTTTGGCAAACTGAAGTCATTTTGCTCTTTCAATGCAGGGAGTGAATGCTCTGCAAGTGTAAGTATTTCACAATCACAGCATTTTACACCTGACATGTCTATGTTATTATTAATCATCATACATAGAGGGATGCATTGGTCGAATTTGATTTTTGAGTATAAAGGTCCGCTTTAATATAACACAATTACTGTACATTATGTATATGGAAACACACAACTCACCATTCTCTGGCTGGTCCTTTATGTCAGCCTCGCTGGGCTGGTTGGGACTGTCTGACTGACTTGAATCTGTTAAATAAAGAAATTGCATTTTAGAACAGAATATAGAATTTCACAAATGTTATCATTTATACAGCAGGCAATGACAAAAATTAAGCACAATTCGCCCCAAAAACTGGAGGAAGAGAAAGGCGCTTCAGATTACTTGCACTTCAATAATGAAGTCTGACAGTTTGCCAGGGGCCACATAGACAATTTTATAAGTTCACATCTACCATATGTGGCCCCATCCTGCAAATATGCTTCATTAATAGTCATTAGCAAGTTGGAGGATCCAACTGATCTTCCAATCTAACTTCAGTGTGAATCATCTAGATACATTCCAGGGGCATCAAACAAAAGGTATACAAAGTATTACAGCTTGTTCTCTTTAGAAAGCAGCCACAGCCTGAGTAGAAAAGCCTGTCCCCTGCCAATCTGCTGCAGAGAGGGAACCTTGCTCTTGCGTGGAAGCACCTCTGTCGCAACTTTAACTCTGCAATGAGCATGAGCTATGGGCAACAACAAGAATGGTCGGCTGTGGGCCTGGCCTGCAGTGGTCGATCCTTCCTCTATAGAGACATTACGCCGGGTCACGTAATGGGTTTTTCAGGACCTGTTTATAGGGTTTTTTATTTTAGAAAAAAAAGAATAGGTAGCAGGCGGTGGCCCAGAGATGGGCTTTACTGGCCCATTTACACTTTCCCATCACGTTGCATTAGTTTAACGCATGGTAAGTGCATTAGTACACTGCACTTGTATTCATTTTGAATGGCACCTCAATGCACCTTTAACACTCATATGTTGCAGTGAACGACAACCCAAGTTAACGCACTACCGTGTGCTGGGTTGTGCTATGATGGGAAAAATGCTACAGGTGGTGCGTTGGCGGACCAAGCATTTGAATGGGCCACTTTTGACTCAATGCACAATAATGCATGACACAGCAACAGATTGGCAAAGTGTGAATGAGCCCTAAAGGGGAAAATAATAATAATATGATTTAAGAGGGTGTGTTTAGGGGCGGAGTTAAGGCCCGGGCAGCATCGGGGTTAGGTGGGGCAACTGGTAGTAAGTAACTCGTAAGGCCTGGCTTGTAGCTCAGGAAAATTTGAGCCCTGATTTATATATATATACTGTATATAGTATATATAATTCCCCCCTCAAAATCCCACAGGTCCCAGGAGGCACCCTAGCTTACATTGTAAGTCATTGATCTTTTCTAAGTTATAATTTAGACTCACTGCCCCCACTTGCCTAACATACAGATATTATAGAGTGTGAACAATGCAATTGTGTGTATGGCAAACGGCTGTCTTAAGTGCATTTTTGTGGTTTAATTTGTTTTATGTACGCTGAATTAAATATCACGATGATTTCCTCTTTAATTAAACAAACCTCGGCTGTCGTCTGAAATAAAATATTGTCTCCTGCAAGGACGGCTCAGTTCCGCACCTCAGAGATGAATTGAGATGATAAAGCAGCCGTCTAAGTTTCATGGTCCCACTGTGCACTAATGTGTAAAGCAGCGAGAGCTGTCAATCACCCGGGGGGCAATGGGCAATCAGGTGAATAGATTAATATTTGCCCATACATAATTAATGGCAGTGACTGATCCATATTGGAAGCATTACCATTAAATCAATAGAATTACTTAGTGCAGTGGACTTTGCATATCCTATTGACATTGTGTAGCGAGCATTAAGTCATTGCGATTTCCCAAGAGCCAACGGGAAGGCTGAGCGGCCACCTGCTTAAACACTGATATCCCGCTGATTAACAAAACTTTATTTATTCCCTATTTCACTAAGTACGCCGGGCTTCAAGCCTGTTGTCAGGATATATATTTTCCTCGTTTTAATGAATTAGTATGGGGCGCAGGTACAAAAAACTGCCATCCCTAAGGAAAGGCACTAGGGGAGCTTCTACCCTTGACCAGCTTGTATGCCATGGCAGTGAAGCCTTCTACACCTGCAGCAAACTAATGACAAAAATAGGTGTGACAGTTTGCGCATGTCATCTGAGCAGCCAATCAGCAAACATCCCATGAGCGCTGAAAACTTTTTCCAGGAGCCTTGGCTGTAGTAGTATAGCAGGGCAGGTTGGCAGATGTGCCATAGCACCATATATATATATATTTGCTATACATATGGATTGCAAGATCCAATGTTGCCGTACATATGCTCTGATGGCATGCCTTGTGCCAAATTTCTGTTAGGTACCCAGCTTTCATAATGAAAGGGGAACATTAAAATCTGACACCTGGATCCTGGTACTAGTGTCCCTTTTGAGAAAGAAGGGATGGTCTTCAACCCAGAGCACTGAGGCACAGGAGAGAGAAACAAGGGGTTACATTAAACTATGGAGGGTCAGTGTCAAGTTTGCATGAAGTGTTAGTGTAGGGGTTAAGGCTATGGGGGGGGGGAAGTGACAGGGTTACAAGGAGGGTTAGTGATAAGGTTAAAGGGAGGGTAAATGTTAGGGTTACAGGGAGGGTAAGAGTTGGGGTTACAGGGGGGGTAAGTGTTAGGGTTAAAGGGAGGGTAAGTGTTAGGGTTAAAGTAAGGTTTAGTGTTAGGGTTACAGGGAGGGTGAGGGTTAAAGGGAGGGTAAAGTGTCAGGGTTACAGGGAGGGTTAGTGTAAGAGTTGATGGGAGGGTAAGTCAGGGGTTGACAAATTAATTTGGAATTCAGGAGCCAGTCTGCCCAATCCAGGAACCAACAGGATTTTTTTTAGGAACCGGTTCTATTGACAACAACTAGAGAACACCTCAAAGGTTGGGCGCCATATGTAATTTTTAAGGAGCATTGGCTACCTACCTACTGGGATATTTCCAGCCCTGTGGTACATGTTAGGCTTACAGTGAGGGTTAGGGTTATTGTTATGGCTACACGGAAGGGTAATGTTAGGGTTAAAGGAAGCATTAGTATCACAGGAAAGGGTTAGTGTTATGCCTAACAGGGAGGGTTACTGTTAGGGATAAAGGAAGAATAAGTGTTGGGGTTATAGGGAGGATTAGCATTAGGATTAAGGCAAGGGTTATTGTTAGGGTTACAGGAAGGGGTTACTATTAGGGTTAGTGTGTGTGGGGGAAAGAGCGGGTAATCTCTTTTAGCACCAGAAGCTCCCATTTTAGGATTGTTCAAGAAGCCAGCATACTAGCTAAAAATATAGTTTAATAACTTTTGAAGTGTACTAAAGGGAATTTTTATATATTTGCCTAGATCTGTTCCCTAAAGGTTGTATTTTCTTTCACAGGTTATAGAAGAACATATCACCATTAAGTTTATTTGCATTTGCTATTGCTCAAAAACACATACGGTACAATTAATACCACAAGAGCTCATGCTAACAGCGTTCTCAGCAAAAAGTAGTTTACATTATTATTTGGCAGCGTGGTGGGAAACCGATATCATGTGATCTTAAGGTAAATGTCACTCAGCTTAATTCCGCGGTGCGCTATGATGTCTCCGTGATGATTCTGAATACTAAACCTTCGCTGACCGTTATTTAAACTCCGAACCCCTTGCAATAAATCTTTCGTTATTTCGCCTTAGCCGGCTGGGTTTTTGGCATGCTGGAAGGCCGTGGCTGCCGGCCATTTTTATTACACGCCTTACATCCCGAATCTATTGGATGGAAAGAGTGGTCCAGATGGCTGAAGGCACGGCGGACAGCTGAATTACCATAGGAAAATTGCATTCCATTTACACCACACCATTTAATCCATCCCTTGCAGTATGTTCACCTACAGCCCTACCTCTCTATCCCTGGGCCTCATTTACACAATACAAGTATTATTTTCAGGTTCAGATCAAAATGAGGACTCATTCAACTGGACTACTGAAAATTGGGTGTTGTCCACTTCAAATGTTACAGCGATTTATTTTTTGTAATCCAAAAACAGCAACTGTAATGCAATGATAGATTCATGCTAATTGTAAGTTTGCTGTGTGACTAACATGTGATGATGAAGAAGCAGCACCACAAATTTCCATCAGAATCAACAGTAAGTCACTGATAAAATTAATGACAGCAAATGTTTCAAATGATCAGGACTGGCAACTGGAACAATCACTGCGCTATAAATTTGTTGGCAGTCTGGATTTTGCACTTAGGAACATTTCAGACAATAGTGGTAAGAGTTTTCTGCAGACTCTTTTCTGTTCCACCAAAACTGTACCGTGTGCAAAGACAGCTCCATAAAGACATGGTTTGATGAGTTGTGGAGGAATTGGTGTCCTCCACAGAGCCCTGACCTCAACCCTACTGAGCACCTTTGGGATGAATTGGAACCTTCTCATCCAACATAAGTATTAGACCTCACAAATGTACTTTTGGCTGAATGGATACAAATTCCCACAGACACACTCCAAAATCTTATGGAAAGTCTTCCCAGAAGGGTGGAGGCTGTTACAGCCACAAAGGGGGCCAACTCCATATTATGGTCATGCTTTGGGAATGAGATGTCCAACAAACTCATAAAAAAGTGATGGTCAGGTGTCCACAAACTTTTTGGCCATATAGTGTATTTAGTAACACCACTTTAATACATCGGGTTCTCTGCATGTGCAACATCAAGGAGCCTACACTTCGCATGTTTGGAGAAACCTCTCCTGCATTACAAATAGGTAACCAAAAGGGCCTCAGAGTTCATCACTTTATCAAAACAAAAGGAGAGTGGGTTGAATTGGTGCAGTACAGTAATACCTGGGGGGAAAAAAACAACAGACCTGAGCAGGTCAGTTGTGTCTCCGGTATGAATTTAAAAGCTTAAAGTGACACTAAACTTAGGAATTAAATTTTAAAAATACATTCAAGTACCTTAACTATTAATAAAAACGTATCTTATTTGTGTATCACTCGGCTGTAGATCCTCAAATCATCTCTGATTGGTGCGGACACTGTCCTTCCTTCTGGAGGGGGGCTACTTTTGTTCCCCATGGTCCCTGCGTGTGTGCTGTAAAGTAATTACCGGTCCAAGCTCGCTCTTGGGATGGACTACAATCTCAATACAAATTAGTAAACTAAACATGAGATTGTAGTCCATCCCGGGAGCGAGTTTGGAGCTTTGTTGATAGTTAAGGTACTTTTTTTATATTATATTTTATATTATATATTTTTTATAATACATTTTTTTATATGTATTTTTAATATTTAACTCCTGATTTTAGTGTCACTTTAACCTTCAGTTCTGATCGTAGAATACCTTTACATAAGCTCAATGGTGCATCAAGGTAGCCATTAGCCATGTTCATAATGGATAATTTTGGCCCATTATGGAAGACTACATGTCATAAGTGTCATGACCTGATCTGAGCATGATAATCGGAAAGAACATCTCTTTTTTTTTTTGTTTACTTTGATTTGAGGTTTGTAGTTTCATCGAGAAATTAGGAGCATGTAATGCCTACTGACAACACTATTTGTGCACCAATGATAATGTCTACAGCTTTCCGATGCGTGAATATTTGATCAGCACTTAATAAATAACCATTTCCTGTATATGGGTGCGCCAAGCTCAATCTTTCACGTGACGAAAAGGCCGCGTTGACGTTTCTTTCTTCTCGAACCCTTCCTTTTTTTTTGATGCGGCTATTTTATTTCCCATGGAAACCCAAGTTACACCTAAAACATTTAGGACAGAACGGAACATGTAACTGTCTCGACAGAAGCGGCTCGCTCGATAAATCTCTATTTTCGCCTCTCACGTTTAAATAAAGATGCAAACAGACAAAACATAATGAGCAATTCACCCAAAAAAAAAAGAACCAAAGCGGCGCTGTGTTCGGAGCTGGGAAAATATGGGGACTCTATTGTATTATTTTATATAGTCTGCGAAGGGGGATAAAATCCCCAAAGGAGGAGGGAAAAAAAAAATGTAATTGCTTCAGGCTTTTCTTTCGAGACAACAAAATAAACACTTTGGCTGCCCTTGTTTGTATGCTCCTCAGTGGTGCTCCAAGCAGGATCAAAAGTCCCCTCACTAATTAAATATGCATTGGCAGAGTTTTTGATCGATGTGCGCCATGGATCTGATGACACACCTGCAAAAATCTTCAGCTCGGAGCTCCGAAGGAAAGAAAAAAAAAAGGAGGGGTGGTGGGGAGGATACAGGCGGTCCTCATCTTTGTTTTCAAAGGATCTCGATTTCTTTGCTTAGATATCTAATTTAATTCTCTCACCCCTCTGCAAACTGGATTAAGAAAGTCAATACTGCCTTTGTGCATCATGCAGGAACACACTGCTTTTCTTTTATCCAATTTAGGTGTGACCTTTCGAACCAACTTAATGACGACTGTCTGGGAGTAAGGTAAGGCTGCGGAGGAAGCGCCCGCTGCGGATCTGTCGCAGGTGTGGCGGCGTACGGGAGAGGAATCGGCCCGTCGCAGGAAAGCTGAAATGTTTCTGAACTACAGATGTCAACTTGACCGGCTCAAAGTAGATGTTAACCGTAACTTAATGACATGAAGTTTGCTAAAGCCCTTACTATCCTAAACAATTGCAATGAGTTTCCATATAATCTCAGTTAGACTTTAAAGAACTCTTTAATGGGCACAAAGTAATGTAGCTTTTATATCATTAATACATTGTCAATTGCAAGCAGTGTAAATTTGACTTGGTATCAGCATCTTGCAGACCCTGCACAGCTGAGCTCAGAGGAAGAAACAGCACAATGAGCCAGTCAGTTGTGCTCTAGGGCACGAATAGGAGGAGAGAGCAGAGTGACAGAGAGATGAGTTCATCACTGTGTGCTGTTTCTCCTGTCCAGTCATAGGGTGAAGGTGGGGAGGGCATGTAAGTTAAAAGTAAAGCTTCAGCAGAGAAGATCAGGTGCCCTCCATTGATAGACAGGGCTATGCCACAGGGTGGAGCTGTGTAAATCTTAGGACTGGGTGGACAGAAAAGTCCATTGGCTTCTATAGAAGCTCTCATGAATCTATACGTATTTAGTGTGTTTTCTGAACTCCAGACGTGGAAATTTGCTATTTATAAAGGGTATTTATGTTAATTGTGCGTAATCATTGCTTTTGTCTTGGATTCCTCCTATAACAGGGGTGGGCATCCTCGGCACTTCAGCTGTTGTGTAACTACAAGTCCCATGAGGCACTGCAAGACTCTGACAGCCACAGGCATGACTCCCAGAGGCACGATAGGATGTGTAGAAGCCGCCTAGACCTGTCTTACAATATAGCAGAGCTGTCCTTGGTTTATGATTGTGCCTGACTGTAGTCTCATAGCAGTATATCTGCAGTATGAGATCCTCTACGGCACTGCTGTCTCTGACTGCCAGTCTCAGGAGATTTGGTGATGTCACTACTGTGCTGCTGGCTGCACTGAAATCTGTACTGGCATGCATCTTCCTGCCCTACTTCCTCCATTCTGTGGATCTGTGCTGGCATGCATCTTCCTGCCTCTACGTCTTCCATTCTGTGGATCTGGACCTCTTCCACCTCTCCTGCTGCTTCTTCTATTCATCCTCACCACTAGTCATCATGGGACATGAGGAAACAAAGCCCTGCCTATACCAAGATGGCTGCCTCCATTCAGAGACACATAGCAGACCAAGGCATGGCCCCTAGTCATCATGGGACACGAGGAAACAAAGCCTTGCCTATACCAAGATGGCTGCCTCCATTTAGAGACACATAGTAGACCAAGGCATAGTAAGCCAGTAATAAAACAAGACCAGCTGTATGGACTTCACAGATAATACTGGTGACTTGTCTCTTGCCCTTTGCTTGCCTTTTTTAGGGGCAAAGCTTACAGAGTTTAGGTCCCCTTAAAATTAGATACATACATTCCAGATGCATCAAAGATAAGATATGCAAATTCTTACAGTTCGTGCTCTTCAGAAAGCAGCCACAGCCTGAGTAGAAAAGCCTGTCCTCTGCCAGCATGCTACAGAGAAGGGCCGTTGCTCTCTGCTAGGAAGCAGTGGTCTCTCTGCAGACATGTTCCCAGCTCAGTTAGACCTATAGCTCTACCTTTAGCACATCTCATGCACCATGCTGATTGGAGAGATCTAACAAACCTTGATAAATGCAACAAGGGGCTCCAAAACCAAGTAAAGATTCTGATATGAACACATATAAACATGCAGAGACATAAATCGAGTCTAAAGTTCGTCTTGTTCTATTTCTTGCAGCAGTGTGTCATTCTGAAACTAAAAGAATGTTGTTCCAATCTGTCTCAAGAAATAAGACAGAAAGGAAAAGAGAGTTCAAAAGTGCAGCGCCCGTCTCTCCGTTACACCAGCGAGCCACGGGGTGTATCAGTTACTTTGCGTACTTTTAGCTCTTGAAAATCGAGCGTCTCCGCGAGCAGCCATACTGAGAAATAAATAGACGAATTCGCTACGTTGGCAGAATTTCCTTCCTTGTGTTCATTTGTCTGGGATCTGTCGGGTTTGTTACAAATAAACACCGGAACGTTGGCTGCTCGGGTCATTGTGACTGTTATATCATGTGTTCAATGTGTACGTACGGCCCAAATGTTTCCTTTTAGTATTTGGTGGAATAGGAAAGGGTTAAAACATGTCAGATAGCTTTTAGCTGCCCGTGTTCCATTGGGGAGATTTCCCTTCACTTCCTGTCCTGGACACACAAGAGGAAGTGAGAGTAAATCTCTCTAAAGTAAGGTGAATTACCTCTCTTCAGGCGCTTATAAACAGAACTGTCCCTGTGTGTGTGTGTGTGTGTGTGTTTGTAACCAGTTTGTGGATATAAGGGATGCTCCGATACTAGTATCAGTATCGGTGCCGATACTGAGTATTTGGGCGAGTACTCGCACTCAATATCGGAACTTCTGGTAATGGTAACAGGAAGCCAGCTCCATGATCCCTCATCACCAGGAAGCATGAAGCCAGCTTCCTGGCCAATCAGGATGCCGGGCAGCGTGTAATGACTCGCCGCCCAGCTTCCTGATTAATCAGAAAAAAAGGCCAATCAGGAAGCCAAGAGGCGAGTCATGACCCGCCCCCCGACTTCCTGATTGGCCGGCTTCATGCTCCCTCGTCACCTAATCTGGAAGCCGGGAAGATCTGAAACCCTAAGTCTGCATCTGATAGGCGGTGTGGAAAACTAACTCCAGCCCCCCGTAAGAACTCATCAACACATTAATCTGACGTGATGGAGAATCCTTTGGGGGAGCGCAGCACCATCCATCTGACAGGTCCTCCCACTTCCTTCCATTTCAGGAAGTGATTAGAATTGCTTGTCTCAGTATCTACAGCACATAAGCAGGGGAAAAAAAATCAGCACTGAAATTAGTTAAAATCCTTACAGTCTTCATACTGGAAAGGTTCCTGTTACAGCGCACGCTGAGCATTTAGGGATTTTATTGCACCTGAGCTAAAAAACGTTCTGAGACCTAAGGTGTCTGTGTAAGCGAGCTCCAGGGCGACTCACAGCCAATCATGATGATTTGGATGTTGCATGTTTGTGCACAGTAGCGTGTGCACACAGCAGTGTTTGCAGTACAGGGCTGCCTTTGGCTGCTGTGCAGAAGTAAACTTGGTAGGACAGCCGTGTAAATAAACCCATAATGAGGGCTATGTGAGTTTATGAGTTGATAACTTCCTGTGCTCTCCGCTGCACTGAAATCCAAATCAGTGTTCCTATCCCTGCCCGGTCAACTAGGAGTGTGCTTGTACTGTAGAACACTTCTCCTGTGTGGTGATGTGGAGAGGGAGGTGTGCTATAGTATGAACACACTCGCAATCCTAATGTGAAAACGTGGCTCCTCCATAGATACAGTACAGCGGGTGTTGTCACCTTGGCGCATGAAGTGTGTTACTGGCAGGATCACCAGGATGCCACAGGTCTTATGCTGAACAGCATAGGGGGGAAAAAAAGGCAGTTTCATTGGCTGTTGTCTGTCTATGAGTTGCTCATATCCTTGTATGGGAGTTACAACAGGGTGCCCATGCACATTCCTGACACCAGCACAGCCATCCTTCACTTTTGAAAGCAGGAAAAAAAGGCTTTTCAGTACAGGAACCCATTAGGTCTCCCTCCCACTCACATGATCAAAACCTTTAAAGCCGGTCATATCACCTCCCCTGAAGAAAGATGCCAGCACGCGATACGATACTCCAAAGTATCCTTTTAGGAAAGTGACACATAAAACCAAGCATCACTTACACGTTTCAGTCTGAACGGGCTTTAATTGTAGCTATGATTAGGGTCTGTTTGGTCTAAAACGCATAAGCAATGTGTCAGGAACCGGATCGGAACCCAGGGCCTCTGCTGTAGCTGGCAGTGGTTCTACCTGCTGAGCCACTTTAGAACCATGGAGAGCTCCTTGCCTGCTCTCCTGTGTAATCCTAAGGTAAACCTAATTTCTGTTGAACTCTGGACTCCTTGCTCCTCCCTTGAACTTCCTATTTAAGCCCCGCCTCTGCACTTCCTGTTTGCCAGATTATTGTGCTTCTGCCAAGATCTTGCTTCCTTGCTCCTCCTGTGATACAATCCGCTCATACTGCTACCCGTGTACCGACCTTTGGCTGCTGATCCACCGACTCCTCTCATCGTCTTCCACTTCATACCCGATACCTTTGGCTACTGACCTCAGCTTGATCTCTGACTACGCTTCTGCCTGCTCCTACACTACTACCGTCTGCTTGTGTACCGAACCCGGCCTGTTATACCACGAATTTGCCTGCTGTTTCAGCTACTGGACACCGAGCCTGATCCAGATCGTGACACAATGTTTGGTTTTACTTGTCAATAAAGCAAACTTTGGAGCAGGGGTAGCCGAACTCCGGCCCTCCAGCTGTGGCAAAACTACAAATTCCATGATGCATCTCTCTCCGGTAGTCATGTCTGTGGCTGTGAGAATCTTGCAAAGCCTCATGGGATTTGCAGTTCCACCACAGCTGGAGGGCCGGAGTTTGGCTACCCCTGCTTTGGAGGATTGGAGTGCATCATTTTGTTTTTCCCTGGATTCTAATGGACATGTAGACTGGGGGTAGCCCCACTGCTTTTAGAACACGTTTCATATATCAGGTCCTAAGCAAGGATGAAGATGACATCCCCAACGCTTCCATAAGGAGCCCGGAGCCCGTTATCTATTCTGACAGGTCCCCTTTAACAAGAGCCGTTCCATTCAATTAAAGACGGAGGACTGAGATGAAGCTCAGCCGCCTATTATGAAAGAGATAAAAACATAAAGATGTTTGAAATGAAGGGCATTAATGTGAAAAGGCAGCGCGGAAGCTG